ACGCAACACGAGTTTGCTCCAAAACGTGAATGGGCGCTTTCTAGGAAGTCGGTGGTTACTTTTTAATGTTCACAATAGGTGTCGGAACAAGTACTTGCTTAAAATTGAACTGTCCCATATTAGGCACTACCCCCATATTAGTCGACTTTCCTCTACCCCAGTGGTCGCCAACCTGTCGATCGCGAGCTACCGGTAGCTCGCGGAGGCAATTCTGGTAGCTCTCACAACGACGTCAATTAAAAAAATACAAACTGCAAAAATCAGAGAAGCTTCCGAAAATTCCACAAAAAAATCTAATTGTCATAATATTAAACATAAACAGCGGCAACGTTGCGGTGAGCGATCTGCCGCTGACGCCATCAAGCCAGAATAAACCCTATGACAACAAATATCATGTAGAAATAATTTCTACCCTGAAGAATAACTTCAAAAATCGTTTTAAGGATTTCAATGAAATGGCTTTAGTAGCGCAGTTTGTTGTTTCACCCTTCATGGAAATTGATATCCAACAGTTTGCAACTTATGTTATGCAGAACTTTGGCGAACAAATATTCAGTTCTATGCCGTGTTGCCTTGAAAGTGAAAGCATTATTCACTTCAACCTATTTGTGTGAATCTTCTTTTTCCAATATGAAGTTTATTAAGAACAAATATCGCAATCGACTTACAGATGAACATATGGATAATTGTATTCGAATGGCTGCATCAAATCATAGGTACTGCAAACATTAAAAAAAATAATCGATGAGTCTGAGTGTCAGCCTTCTCATTGAACGTGCTTTTTTATTTTTCAATGTTTATGTTCATGATAATGCGTTACTTTTTTGTTATTATTAACTATTTTTAAATCATACGTGACATGCCGTTGTGGCTGGATAAAAGTTTGTGTTTATTTTTCAAACACCTTCGTTTGATAGATAGAAATGTAGCTATGAACAAGTACGTACTAGTAATATTAGTATTTTGTTATTAGTTTATTATTAGTACCTATGTATTATGTATTACCAGTTAAATAGTAAAATAAATACATATAATGATAAATTAACTGTGGATTATTTCATTTACGTTGCGTTACGTGGCTTCCGTGTGGGTAGCTCGCTGTTTATTCCAAAATTAACAAAGTAGCTCAACACATTGAAGAGGTTGGCGACCACTGCTCTACACTCTACATTCTTCTCTTTCCCCTGCGGAGAGCTGACGAGTACGTAGATAACCTACATGTTATCCACATATTTTCTTGTATAATTCTCAATGAACGCAGTCAAATAACCTATAAAAGTTTTTTTATTAGGTAATTTTTCTAGAAGTAGATTCATCTTTTCTCGTGCATTCCTAAACAGATTATAGTGTTCATCCCATTAAATCTAAATGACCGTCACGCAAAGTCCCCAGCACTACAAATATCCCACCGCCAGTGACTTACACTCGCTAGAAATCTCGGAATAAATTAAAAGAGATGAATTATAAACCAGTTGACGCTAGAAAGGTCTATTACAACCGAAAATTACGTATTGTACGTACGCGTTTGTAAGTAGGATGTAATATATGGCATTTTTAATATTCACGCAGTATTTATTGAGGATGTCCATAATGATCGGATACGAGGTTGTTGAAAAAAATAAATATGATCGCGTTCGTCAAGTAGGTGATCTACCAAAGTGGTAGTTATTTCCGATTTCGACTATCACAAGTTTAGTAGTATAAAAAGAGTCGAGTATTTAATAATAATAATAGAAGCATTATGCCAGAATAAAATTAACGATCAATAAACTCAAGTTTAACATAATTAACAAATTAATGAATTTTTATGCCAACGGAGATTGGGAAAAAATGTGTATTATTTGTTAGTTAATTTATATATTATTTGTTACTTAACAATTGAATGACTTTTTGAAAAATGGTGATAAAACATTCATGATTTGAACTTGTTGATTAGACTATCACAGCAACACAAACCATACGTAACCCTGGGCTGAAAATTCCCGGGCATAAGAAAGAAAACGCGTGTTTTTTTTGTTCAAAATTGGCTTTATTCGTCGACCTGATATCCATCAAGAACAACACAATTATTTCAGCGCTGCTCTAACATTTCAATAGCACTTTTGTAGAACGATTTATCTTTCGCCTCAAAATAGGTCTCAGTTTCAGCAATAACCTCTTCTTTCGAGTGAAATTTCTTACCACTGAGCATTTTTTTGAAGTCTGCAAACATCCAATAGCCGCTGGTAGCCAAATTTGGCGAAAATGGTATATGTGAGAGCAATTCGAAGCCCATTCCATGCAATTTTTCCATCGTTTTCATTGATTTGTGATACTGTACATTGTCCTGGTGAAGCGGCACTTTCTATTTCTTCAAATGGGATCGTTTTCTGCACAATTTCGGCCTTCAAACGCTCCAATAATGCTATATAACATTCACTGTTGATGGTATCTCCCTTCTCAAGATGGTTGATGAATATTATACCATTCCCATTCCAAAATACTGACACCATAACATTGCCAGCCGACTGTTGCGTCTTTGCACACTTTGGAGTCGGTTTACCACGTAGAGTCCACTCAGTTGACGATCGTTTTGATTCCTGGGTGAAGTATAGATCCATGTTTCATCCATTGTCACCTATTGACGTAAGAACTCCGGTTAGAATCATCAAGACGTTCTTGTTTTTGGTCGACAGTGAGCTCGCGCGGCATCCATTTGGAACAGAGCTTTCTCATAGTCGAATGCTCATGTAATATTGTTGTTTCTGATGGAGCGGATACCTTATAACACTTTTCAAGCCAATGCTTCACTTGAACGGTATTTTCCTTACACGTTTTATATTAACTTCACCTGTATGTATGTATGTATGTTTGTTTGTTTGTAATTTTCAAGCTCGGGAACTGTATTGACAGAATTATCGACATTATTGCTTGATCTATTCGCGGGCGGATGGCGCTGTACGTAACCTTCTTGATATTTCTTGATCTATTCGCGGGCAGATGGCGCTGTACATAACTCTCGACATTATTGCTTGATCTATTCGCGGGCAGATGGCGCTGTACGTAACCTCCTTGTAGGTTATTCAAAAGAAAACCAAAATAAATAATTATATTTTAAAAAACTAAAAGACGCGCTTTTAAAGAACATCGAACTAAAAAGTTAAAAATATGTTTTTTAAAAAAAGCTTAAAACAATAACGATCGAAAAATACTAGAATTATTTTGAGAAAAGCGTGGGCGTTTTGTGACATATTTTTTGTATATCAAGCGCCCGTCGCTTTGTTCACAATAATCTAGTATTTTTCGATCGTTATTGTTGTAAGCTTTTTTAAAAAAAATTTTTTACTTTTCAGTTCGATGTTCTTTGAAAGCGTGTTTTTAGTTTTTTTAAACTATATTCATTCACATTAAGAAGCAGTGTGAAATTAAAAGACGAAAATGTTTTTGATCCATTGTTTTGAAAATAAAAAAGTAGTATTACTTTTAGCACAATAACTCACAAACTCATGAGTATAATATCACGAAATTTCAACAGCTTTCTTCTGAAGGTTTGTACTAACTGAAAAAGCAGTGAATGCAATAAGAGCAGCGCCATCTATGTGTTAGGCCCAAGATTCTTCAGCCCATTTAGTACTTCATGAAATATAAATTCATCTATTGAATATGCACAGTTGGGACGGCGAAAGGATACACATCGTCATCAATAAATTAAGCGATAAAACACACTCTTTTCTATAGCATCTTTCTCATCTGCCAGTAAAGAAAGATGCACTCTCCTGCAAGCGAAAGAAGGTGAACTTGCAGAAGGATTGAGTTCAGAACAAATAATAATTCAAGCACATTCATTAAAAATGCCAAATGGGAAGAACTTTTTCCGAGAGAATTAAAGAACATATAAGCAGTTTCTTGAATGGAAATACCAATTCCACATCTGTATCTGTAGAGTAGGGACGGTGAGTGTAGGCCCACAGCACTTGGGCCACATGTGACTCATTGTACATCCTCCCAAGAAGTTGTTCTCCTATAGGTCATCGTCCATCCTGTCCTTTTCAGGAAGGTGGATAGGTCACTGGGAGACATCTCCTTTATATCGGCAGGTGTAGGCCAAGACTCGCCGAACACACACTCTCTCATTGACAATAACTCCGGACACTCGCAAAGGACATGCCTGACAGTTTCATCTTCCTGTTCACACATACTGCATATAGGTGTGTCCCCTAGCTCCACATTGTGGAGGCGTTTCCTTAGTTGACAGTGGTCAGTCAGAAATCCTACTGTTAAGCGTAAATTTTTTCCTGGTCATCGCCAGATATTTCTTCGGCGATAGCTTCCCAAGGTCGCCCAGGGTGATCCTGGCAAGATTGCATCCTTTGATTTCATCCCATCTCTTCAGGGATTGAGCTTGGGTGTGACGTTTGGCTAGTTCCGCAATTGTCGAAGTCATCAGAGAATTCATCATAGAATTCTCAGTCCAGCCGCTTCCTTGACTAAAGAGTCGGCAATGCGATTACCTTTACTCCTGTCGTGTCCTTTAACCCACCTCAGGATAATGTTATTATCTACCGAGGCATTGGCTAAATCTTGGTGATCAATTCCACATTTGCAAACCATCTTTGAGCAGAAGGGCATGAGTTCAATCACGACTATGATGTGTTACATTGAGAAGAGAAAAGTTTGAAACTCAATTTTATAGAATGTTCAGAAATTTAAGAATTCAGATCATGTACTGAATGACCAAATAGAATTAAATAACTGTGGAAACTGGTAATTAACTGATACATAAGCCTTAAGTAATTTCATTCGTTACATGTTTATTCTTTTGCACTTTATTTTCTTTTGTTATTTCTCAATGTTTCTTATTTTTCTACCGTTTGTGAAAGCACGCAGCTTCAAATTAATATTTTTGAGAAAAACAATGCAGGAAACTGTTCGTGGCAGTATTCCGTTCAACTTGTCAATATTATATTGTCCATTCTCGAAAATTAGGATGTGTGAATTTATTGAGTTTATTTTCATTTCAGTATTGCGGTATCAGGATTGGACCAATTGTGAAAAGAGACGTCATGAAAGCATCGATAATGCTGGAACATGAAAGCCAGTAAGTATTTCTTCATAGTTTAAAGTTGAATTCAATGGGAATTTAGAAACATGATTCGGGCAGTTGAAATGAGTTTAATATTTATTTACGAACTTATTTTACAATTTTTCATTTTGTGAATAGTTAGGTTAGGTCTAAAGTGAGTGGGTCTATTCGACCCTCCACCGCAACCCGCAAGGGTTTATTGTGGCTCACACCTATTCAAACTCGGACAGCTTTTTGTTTCATATGATTCCTCAAGCATTTGGTAAGAAGTCAATATACTGGGTGTAACTGAATAAGTGTAAAACATTTAAGGAGGTGATTCCTCATCGAAAAAAATATAGGATCTTTCATATAAAGAAACTTCATTGGAGCATCCCTTGTTAAGATACAGCCCCTTAAAGGGGGTACATAAAATTTGTATAACAATTTTTTTCACAAGCACTGAAAAAGTTACAATATTGAAATTAACCTGATGTTTTGTACTACCAAAAAGACACTTAGCCAGTAATTTATTTGATTTACCCCATGGTTGTAAGGGATGGAAAACGCAACCCCTAAAATTTATTTCCAATGTAAGTTTTTGTCTTATTATTTGTTTACCATTTAAAAATTTATTTCCGATAGCCTGTTTCATTCTTAACAAAAAATGTCTCTTGGATTTTTTGCCCAAAATAAACCAGTTCGCAGCAAAAAATTATTTTACGAACAACTACAGAGATACATCGTCATAAATACGAACTGGATTTATTGTTATTTTGTAGTTAGTACCTGCATAAAACGATCAAAGGGTAATAAACAAAACTAATTTATTAATAACAAAACACACAACAGATAGAAATCATAGTAAATGTTCAATATGTCTACCTTCAGACATTACGCAGGCGTCTAGACGTCGGCGCATTGAGCCACGTATTCGCTCAAATATTCCTGGAGTATCTCTGATTACCCTGCACATATCGATGATGCGGTTTCTTAAGTCCTCTACATCGCGAAAAGGAGTACGATAAACCAAATGCTGTAAATGGCCCCAAATAGAGAAATCGAGAGAATTGAGATCCGGGGATCGAGCGGGTCAGTTTGAGGTCCTCCTCGACCTGTCCACTGATTTGCAAATGTTTCAGTTAAATGCTGACGTGCTACTTGACTAAAATGGGCGGGAGCCCCATCATGCATAAAACATATCCCTTCTGACGCCCAAAGGAACTTCCTCCAGCAGTACTGGATGCACTTCTCTTAAAAATTGATCGTATGCCTCACCATTTAGAAAATGAGGCTCGATTAAATCATCCCCCATAACTCCGAGCCACACGTTAAGAGAAAACTGTTCTTGATGGTTAGTTTCGACAATAGCGTGAGGGTTTTCATCAGCCCATATGTGGTAATTATGAACATTAATAATCTTCTCCCGAGAAAAACTACATTCGTCTGTGAATTCTATCGTCTTTAGAAAGTCACAATTGCTTCTAATCATTTCCAGCATCCAATTGCAAAATTCAAGACGGTTCGGAGAGTCTCGCGGTAACAGTGCCTGTACTCGTTGCTGATGGTAAGGGTATAAGTATTGTTCCTTTAAAATTCGAAATACCGTCATATGATCAACATTTAGCTGGAAAGCAATCTTTCTAGTACTGGTTTCAGCATTTCAGCATATCTTCTAGAAGCTTCTAACCCATTCCCCTGCGACAGACCATAAACGTAATGCATATCAGCCGTTTCCTCATTTGTGTATGCCAAGTGAATTATTAAAGTAACAAATTAAGAACAGAACAACAACACACAATTAGTATTAATTCAATTTGGAAAATTCACAAACTGACAGCGTCATACCAATTCAATTGTCACTATCGCTAATAGCGACCTACTCGATTCGTATTTTCGCATTTATGACGATGTATCTCTGTAGTTGTTCCTAAAATATTTTTTTGCTGCGAACTGGTATATTTTGGGCAAAAAACCCAAGAGACATTTTTTCTTTAGAATGAAACAGGGGCTTTCGGAAATAAATTTTTAAATGGTAAACAAATAATATGACAAAAAGTTACATTGGAAATAAATTTTAGGGGTTGCGTTTTCCACCCCTTACAACCATGGGGTAAACCAAATAAATTACTGACTAAGTGTCTTTTTGGTAGTACAAAACGTCAGGTTAATTTCAATATTGTAACTTTTTTATTGCTTGTGAAAAAAATTTTTATAAAAATTTTATGTACCCCCTTTAAGGGGCTGTATCTTAACAAGGGATGCTCCAATGAAATTTCTTTATAGGAAAGATCCTATCTTTTTTTCGATGAGGAATCACCTCCTTAAATGTTTTACACTTATTCAGTTACACCCTGTATTTTTTGTCCGCCATATCCATCGGTTTTCAGATCTGGTCATAACGTTGAGCCCTCAAATTATTTCTTGCACATTACGAGACTGCATAGAACTCCTCCCGTAAAGACGAATATTCCAAGCATGATTTCAGAATAAGAAGTTTATGCCGAAAGTGTTTTATGGTATCCTAGCTCCTCTCAACATTTTTCTGGAGAGAGTGGCTAAATGGACTGCATATAGAGTTATGCATATTGCCAATTGCACAAATCAATTTAATGCAGAATGCAACAGACTGTTGGTTGACACTGGAAGTCACAGCATTCTGGAAACGACCTCCGACTGTATGCCTCCCAACTGTGAACTACGAACTGCTTTATTAAGTACTGTTCCCGAGTAGAGAGGAATGGATACTCCTGGAGAAGGAAATATTAAGAGCAGATAGTTGTTGGTCCACAGATAGATGAAAAACTCCTTCCGACCCAGGACAGAGATATCAACCTGTCTAGGAACCTATGCGACCTCATACGATCCAACCTCATACACAAGTAAATAAAAATATTCTCGGACAGTCAAGCGGTGTTGAAAGCTCTTGGCTCCTACCGAGCAACGTCTAAATTGGTAGCAAATTGCTAAAAACAACTCTCCTCGATAGGAAGACCTAACGGATCTGGATTCCTGGCCATACTGGCCTGGAAGGCAATGAGGCGGCCGACTCCCTTGTAAAGGAAGGTGCTGCAAGCAGCTTCATCGGACCAGAACCTGTCATTGGCATCGCTTTAGGCTTTGCCGAACAAAGATTGAACACCTGGATGGCAAGAAGATGGACTTCTGGCAGATTCTTCCAGGATTGGCTCACTCTAAGGCGTTCATTCACCCTTCGAAGATTGATACCAAACAGTTGTTGGCCTACAGTCCCACTGGCCTTCTTACAGGTCACTGTCATTCGAATCATCATATGCAGAGACTCGGACAATCGGACAAGACAGTGTGTATCGCCTTTGTTTTGAAAATTATGAAACAGCAGAGCACATACTTTGTGCATGCCCCACTGGAAACCGAATCAGGTTTTTTAGGGTTCGGCAGAGCTGTACTCTTACCATTTGACCTGAAAGACCACTCACCATACAAACTAATCGGCTTCGTTAACAAGCTGGATTTATTTGGTCGAGTGCGAATAGGTGTGAGCCACAATAAACCCTTGCGGGTTGCGGTGGAGGGTCGAATGACCCACTCACTTTGGACCTAACCCTAACCTACTATGGTATCATGTTCGTTCCTCCACAAATTCCAAAGATTGTTTTTCACCCCATCCCTTGCAGCTCAATGAATTTTCCAACATAAATTGACCCCCACCCTTGCCTTACTTTGCTAACTGTGGTAAATTATAATGTGACTAAGTTGCTGTTAGTGTGGTTCTCATTGCTCCCGTATTTCCAAACAAGCAATCCTTAGCACCTTACCTATGTCTTTCACACATTTTGGTTTGGTATTTTAAGAGAAGTTATTGAACATTTACACTCGCTTCAGTATAATATATGTAGGTTAGAGTTTTCTGAATTCACCTCAATTTGAAATGTTTCGTAGCATTTTTTCACTTTTGAATATGGACTTTTTGAACAAACCATAGATCAATGAAAATTTAATGAAATTAAAGGAAGGATGTTTCCAACTAGGTTCTCTAGAAATGATAATGTTTTATTTTCCAGTTATATACTTGTTATCACAAACCGATTATTGCCTTCAGGTACGCCACTATCTTGGCCTTCGATGTTAAGATAGAGCGCGACGCCCAAGAACTAGCCGACAGCCTCGGCGTCAAAATCTTCCAAGCAGACATCATCTATCACCTTTTCGACAAATTCATGGCGTACCGAGAGGAACTGAAGCAGCGCAAACGAGAAGAATTCAAACATATCGCCGTGTTCCCCTGCAAGCTTAAGATCCTGCCCCAGTTCGTGTTCAATTCTCGTGATCCCATAGTCGCTGGCGTCATGGTCGAAGCCGGAATTGTCAGAGAGGGAACGCCTATTTGCGTGCCTAGCAAAGAAGTAAGTCGTAGATAAGGAATTTTTGATTGGTGGTGCCGCGAGGTAACATTCCGGACCCGCTTCACTGTTTCGAAAATTGTATTTGATAGTTTAGCATGTTTGGTGATGCAATGATTTATTTCCAAAGAGGTTGGAAAGGCCAGCATCAATTTTCATCATTCCGAATTGAATTGAATTCTTATTCAGGGTTATGTTATGATGCTTTTACATGAAGTACCGCAATGCATATCACTTTATATATGCTATCGTTTTATTGTTATAGGAATTGATAATACATTTTCCGTAAAATTACTTCCCAAAAAGGGCAGTTTCTGTGTCAACAATAGAAATTTTCATGAAATATCAGAATAGACAGTAATAAGCGATATCAATTTGTACGGGTGCAGGCCCAAGTCACGACGCAAAATTCGCCAAATTGTGGTCTACGAAAGGCCGAGTTCTTGTGAGCGACGCGAAATCGACTGCACGGATTCTCCTGCGCGCACTCACAGACAGCGGCGATGTTTTCGTCAGATCTTGCGTTTGGTCGACGTACGGGTATTGTTCAATCGTTCACTGAACCACTGAACTCAAATTTATCAACCATATTGCGAATAGTCTTCTCGGTAGGACGATTATGGCGACCGTAAAATGGGCGAACCGCGCGGTACGTGCCCGAACAGAACACTCATTTTGATGAAACAATTTTATTATTTGCACGTGTTGTTGACTGCTAACGGCTCTTAACTGGGCCATTGTTTCGCGTGCCGTGTGGCATGTGGCATCGTCTTGTTGAAACCACACGTCAGGCATGTCCAATTCTTCCATTTTAGGCTACAAAAAGTCGTCAATCATCACACGGTAGCGCTCGCCATTCATAGTAACGTTCCGGCCATTGTTGTCTTTGAAGAAGTACGGCCCGATGATGCCACCGACCCATAATCCACACCAAACAGTGACTTTTTCGGGATGCATCGGTAGCTCTTGCAATGCTGGCTGGTCTTTACTCTAGATGCGGCAATTTTGCTTATCAACGTATCCATTCAACCAGAAATGAGCCTTGTCTGTGAACACGATTTTTCGATAAAAATGTGAATATTCCTCCAACTTTGCCAGCGCCCATTCACCAAAGGACGTTGTGGGAGGTCGTGTGGCTTCAATTCTTGCACCAGCTGTATCTCATAAGATTTCACACCCAAATCCTTTCGCAAAATTTTCCGCGTAGTGGAGTAACAGAGACGCAATTGCTGCGAACGGCGGCGAATCTACATTTCACGGTCATCACGAACACTGGCGGATACAGCCGCAATATTTCCTTTGGTCCTCACTCTACGTATGCGTTTGGTGGTTTAATGTCCAATAATGTAAACTGGGTTCGAAATTTAGTCACAAGCTTCCGAATAGCTCCCTCAGTAGGCCGACGAAACTGCCCATAAATTGGAAGAAGTGCAGGATGACTTCTTCACCAATCATGAATTTTGATAATGAAATTCAATAATTTGCAAGCGTTATTCATTCGTAAGTCGATTCATGGGTAAATTATACACCAAATTGAACAAGTTTGACAATTACACAAGACACGATTCACGCGTGATCTGTCAAAAACAGTGTTGCCAAAAAGATACCAGAAAAAAATCACTCATTATATATGTCCATGGTGATATGGCATAGGAGACTGAATATATGACAGATAGTTTGACAGATGTATAGTCAACAAAATGGCGGTTATCAATTGTTGAAGTTCGTAAATCCCTGTTGGAAGACCCTTCATATTATCCGGAATGTTCTTGCACTTTTTATGAGTTTCACGTCTAGGAAAGCATTCACGTCTGCAGTTTTATTTCGGTCGAAGTGGTGAGAACATTTCGCGAAGCTACCGATTGGAGAAGTATTCACTAGGCCGGGTTTGCATTTTCGGGAATCAGACCAATGATAGTTTTTTGCATTACAGCGCGATAAATTGTTTCCGAGTCAAAGAAGTCGTTTCTCTTACCTTGATTTTGATAGTGTGTATTCTATCCAATTGTTTTGATACTCATCTTGTCACCACTCGGTTGGTGTTTGAAGACTCCATTGTGGATAAATTGCATAACACTAAATGTTCCAGGATACGCCCTAGGGCACATCATTGAGAAGCACAATTGTTTTTCAACTCGTGTATAAACAAACCGAGGTTGCAATAGAAAAATGTTCTCGAGTTGAAAAACTGAAAGTCTTTGAATTCCAACAGCGGTACGCTAAAGTAAAAAAAAAGTTTCATCACTTAACTGTCAAAAACACGGCCTGTAGATGGGAACCAAGTATAACGATGGGCTTCGGTAAATCACCCAAGAAAATAATTTCCCGTTTTTTTTGTCACTGAAAGCGATATTGGACTACTGTAGACAAAAAACGTGATGTTTTCTACTATAGAATTCAGATATACGAGTAGTAAACTATGGCATCCGTAGCATCAATAGCAGCAAATGTAAATCTTAATTTCCTACTCGCTGATGACTGGTTATATTTTTATTGGTCTCATAATTTTTCTTGTGTTTTCGGTTAATAAAAGTTGTCTATACTTCCCCATCCTGTGTAGTTGTAATTTGATTATTTTGTCCTAGATTTAATGTTTTAGTTGTATCAAAGTCGACAAATATTTTAATTGATCTTGCAGTTTGTGGACATTGGCGTGGTCACTAGTATAGAAAACAATCACAAACATGTGGAGTCTGCAAGAAAAGGTATGGAAGTTTGCATCAAGATTGAGCCCGTACCTGGAGAATCTCCTAAAATGTTTGGTAGGCATTTTGATGAAACGGACTTCCTTGTCAGTAAGGTAAGTGAAATTTCTATAGTTTTGTTAATTAGGTGCTATTTCAAAAGGAATAGTGAAAGCAATCATTGATTGAATTACAAGTTTATATAGAGCTATGAAATATATGGGTTTATCGGATATCACAGTGTATTTCAGTACTCATGAAACTACCTTTTACTTTTCCATCTCTACTGCTTTCTAAAATTTGCTTTTCAATTATTTTTTCTAATTTTTCATTTAATAATACTTATTTGGTACTCTGGCTTCAGTAGCTTGAATTCTTAACTTCCATAACAATACATACTGATATGATCAACATTATACTTAAAATATTCGTGACATTCCGAACTTCTTTGAATAATACCTCAACAATCATATTACGTCTAGGGTTTTCAACATCAAAAATTGTAATGTTGAGCATTTGAATAATTGTGTTTCAAATATTTGTATCTTCTAATTGTTTCTATATTTCATTTTATGTGAATCTCCAACGGCTCATTAGGGCAATCGTATGATAACGCCTCAAACTTTTAAAATCTCGCATTAGAATGAATACTTCTGAAACTCACAATATTTCACTTCCATCAAAATGATAATTTTATTTCCAAGGTTTAAAAAAATTAGTTGAATCGTGTTTCGCTATACAATAGCTTCTTCAGGCGTGTCTTTATTAACTATATTCTACATATTCAATGCTTTATATACCTAATTTAACAATTTGAAGTACTTAAATTTCAAGTACCTGAGTTTGTAATGAATTAAATTACCTGAGCTTATGTTTCAGTTTCCACATTTGAAAAAATATTTAGTAACAGAGAGTGATTCAATTCTAATTGATAAATCAGTAAATTACCCGAATTCTTGAATCTATTGATTTCTAAACATTCTAGAAGATTGAGTTTAAAATTTTTTTGAATGTAACACGTCGTATTCATGATTGAACTCATGTCCTTCTGCTAAAATGTGGTTTGCAAATGTGGAATTGATCTTTCTATTCACAAAACTACTTCCCATGCTCTTTAATTCTTTAGGAAAATGTTCTCCCTGTTTGGCCAATATCCAAAAAGGCGAGAGCCACAAGTCAGCTCGAACCGACCGGCTACCGACCGACCGCGAGAAATAAGAAGACGGAACCCCGCTGGAAGCGTCGGAAAACCGTTTCCAGGGCAACTCCATAACGTTAAAAGGATGTCGGGTTACGGGGTGGTCGAACCGTAGAAAGATGGTTTCAAAGGGGCGTGGGGGCGAGGGTGAGATTTTACTGCAGTAACATCGGTCGATAGTTTTGTTACGAAAGAGGTGCAATGCCCCGCAGTCCTAGATTACCGAGCGCGTTGTGAATGGGTCGCATCTGATTGAATGGGAAGAAGTTTTCAATGCGTTACCCGTCCGCTACGTTACGACTAGAAAATGATTAATGTCGACTTGAATGGATTCGTTGGGATTAACAAAGGTCGAGGAAGGCAATTGTTTTCGCTGATGAAGTTTTTAAGAAGCTTTTGGTTGTTTGTTTGGAAAATGTATCTGCCGTAATTTACGAGATATTGGTCTAAACATGAGATTAGCGTGGTGTGTGGATGTCTTAGGCCGGTCCTACATTGGAAACCAGACCAGCCCAGATCCTACATTGCAGCAAGCTTTCAGCCAGGAGCGTAATAACTAGTACTGTATCAACTCAACCAAGTTCAATAGATCTTGTTGAAATGCACCACCTCGACCAAAGCTTCTATGTAACTGGAAGAAAGAAAAAACTGATTGTTGTCAAACCAGTTCAGACCCGACTTCCCACCGCGGAACGATCACTGGCTCCAGTGTAGGAGGTGAAATGGTACGTCATGTGTTTGTTCTCATCAGACCCGCTCAGACCGTCTAACTAATAGAAGACTGAGATGGTCTTTTTCACCAGAAAAAGAAGTTCATCGGGCTTCCAAAATCTTCAAAAGAAAACTAAACTTCTCTGAAGAGGTGAAATACCTTGGTACTATCCTCGACATGGAACTCTCACTACAGAATAGATCAAAAAGGGCATATGGGGCGTATGAGCAATGTCGAAGAACAGTGGGACGCGCATGGGGTCTTTCACCCAATGTGGTTACCTGGATTTACACTGGAATGATAAGACCTATGTTACGTACGGAGCCATTGCATGGGGAACGAAGGTTCTACAAGCAACGGCCATCCAAAAATTATATCAAATACAGCGACTGACTTGTTTAAACATCAAACAAACCGCGGCAATGGAATTAATTACGGGTATGTCCCCTCTGGACCTGTACGTTAAAGATGTTGCGTTAATGGCCATGGTACGATTGTGCACAGCTGGTGTAAACCTCGATGCAGGAATGGGTGAATTAAGGCTGGGTCTATGACGGGAAGCGCTTACTGGGCAACCTCTGCTGCAGGCGACCAGTGATGCAATTGAACCCAGGTTTGTGTTTAATAAACCCTACAAAATACAAATTAAGCAGAACACAGAGTCAGATGCTACAAATGCAATACGGATTCATACAGACGGCTCAATAACCAAAGAAGGCACAGGATGTGGAGCGTACTCCAGATCACTAAGCCTAAGGATTAAGTGGGGAATGGGAAGAAATACCAGTGAGGTCCAAACAGAACTGGCTGGTATCTCAATCACCACAAAAGATATAACCAGGAAAGGAATTTCTGGCAAAAACATAACAATCTGCACTGACAGCAGACAAATCCTATTAGCCTGGAACAGACAACGTGTAACCTCAGGGCTAGTACTAGAGTGTCACCAAGATTTAGCCAAAGCCTCGGTAGATAATAACATTATTGCCGAATCTTTAGCTAAGAAAGCGGCTGGACTAAGAATTTTAGGACCTGCCTGATGACTTCGACAATTGCGGAATTAGCCAAATGTTACACCCAAGCTCAATCCCTAAAGAGATGGGATGGAATCAAAAAATGCAATCTTGCCAGGATCACCTTGGGGCAACCCTGGGAAGCTGGCGCCTAAGAAATATCTGGCGATGACCAGGAAAAATCTACGCTTAACAGTAGGATTTCGGACTGGCCACTGTCAACTAAGAAAACACCACAATAATATGGGACTGGATGTGTGAACAGGAAGATGAGACTGTCAGGCATGTCCTATGCGAGTACCCGGAGTTGTCGTCAATAAGATAGTGTCTGGCCTACACCTGCTGATATAAAGGAGATGTCTCCCAGTGATCTGCCCACCTTCCTGGAAAGGACAGGATGGAAGATGACCTAGGAGGACAACTCCTCGGGAAGATGTACAACGGGTCACATGTGGCCTAAGTGCTGTGGGCTTATACTCACCCTCCCTACTCTACAGATCGAAATACCTAAATATTCATGCACGATATGTCCAATAGGTTCTTTCGATTTCTTTAGAGCACCAGCAATCTCGATCAACTTCAGTTTTCATCGATAACGGCCCCTTTGAGGCGTGTATCGTCCTTGATGCTCATTTCACCTCGTTTAAACTTGGCAAACCACTTTTCAACGGTTCATTTTCATTGTGCAAAGCCCGAATAATGTTCATCAAGCCAAACCTTGGCTTCAACAATATTATATTCGCCAAAAATCAATGCTTTATTAACACACGAAATTCCTTTTTATCCATTTTCTTCAAACTAACAAAAGTTGCTTCACTCACAATGTTCTATTCTACAAACTAATAGTCCGGCAGCTGTGAAATTCGTACACGTGTCTTTTGAAGGTTTGTCACACTGCAATATAACACACAGACTTCGTACTCTGCACGGTTTCTGAGGTGTTCATCCGCAAATAATCCAATAGTGAAAATTCAATTATTATGTCAGCCACTTGATAAACAATGAATGTAAATGAATGGAAGCTTGCCATATTTGATTTCAATTACCCATCACGCCTTGACAATAAAAAATGTGGATAAAATCACTTACATATAAAGCAACTGCTGGTGTACCTCCAGGATCCAATCTGGGTCCACTTCTTCTCCTGGTTAATTTAATGGCTGATTCATACACACTTTTGCTTCATTCTCTACTTTTACATCAATAATAAGGATACAAATTGATGAACCGGGCGGTTCATACACCATTGTTGAAAAAAAGTGACAGATGGGCTGTAGACGTAAATTTAGGGTGTTTTCATTTAACAAATGTTCTCTCACTTGTTTTGACTTTTGGGACAAAAACGGAAATGCCAACGTTCGGAGCAGAAAGAGAAAGTTGAGAAAATACCCTTATATATAAAACAAAGTCAAAAAATCGTGTCAGCCAATCCAGAAAAAGCAGAATAATAAGGTTTCACGAAATCCTTTTGTGTAAATAGCAAAGTCGAAAAATCGTGTTCATTTGAAACTCGAGAAAGCCTGAAAAAATGTCCATGATTTTCATTCAGCTTTCGAAATGAAAAAAAATTGAAGAATCAACAAATTGTCGGCAGTGTTATTTACAACGAAGCCGCAATGCAATTAGACTGCAGAATATTGTGAATCAATACACTTCAGATGAAGAAACCACACGAGAGGAGCGCCGTGTTCAGTGTTGCCAGATCTACTCTTTTTACATTAAATCTCGGTATTTTGGCTTTCGAACTGCTTTTCTACTGTTTGAGAATTTAAATTCAGATACTGATACCAACATAGACTGTTCTGGGTGGAATCAAACGGGCTAACGGGTTTCGAATACTTTTCGTGGAAGTATCTATAGAAAAGTCCCCAACCTTCCATCGATTTTCCACGGTATGAATATGATAAAAAACGAAATAAAAATTGAAAAATGTAAAGAAATTAAAAATATGAATTACTTCACTTCATGAGATGCTCAGGCAAAAACATTAAAGGTTTTTTCAAATATTTTTATTTGTAATTCGTCAAACAATAAGGTTGAAGCTTCGATTGAAATGTCAATTCATTCCTTGATTATTGATTGAAGTGTTTTTCTCATACATCCAATAGTTCATAACAATCAAGGAAAAAGAAATGGAAGCGGCAAGTCTAGGTGCAAGAAATTATTTAAAATTACATAAAATTTTGAAAAAAGTGTTCATTCCTTACAAAATAATTATCCCTTTTTTTAGAAGATTCTCACATTTTTTTGTATGAAATAATACATCCGTGGAAAAGTTGTAAGTGAACATAGCACATTCATAACCCCGTATATGATGTACACGCCAAGGCAAGAGATGAATGAGGACGAAAACAAGGACCCTCGGAGGGTTGTCACACGAATGGAAATAGAAAGAGACGGCGTGTGCAGCAAATCTAATCAATGAGTATTTGGGTCAAGGGGTCGTGTTCTAGTTTCATTCATGAAATGTTCGGCGGCGGCGGCTGTGGCGGCAGGAAGGCTGTTAGGATATAATTCGTTTCTCGACCCTTTCGCGAAAGGAAATTGAATCGAAATGACGGGAACGCCGAAAAGGGAAATGAGCAATTTCACTCTGATTGGTTTTTTTTACTATTCGTTTGAAATTTTCCAGTAATGAAGTTGCGGTAAAGTTTTATGAGAAGTTCTAATTGGGCGAGCCGATTTTCTTGCTGCGAAATTGACTGATTTGGATTCGCTTTTAACGATATCTACAAAATATCATAATATTTTGAAACTAGAATAGAATTTCTGGAATAATTTTCACAAATCTTCAACGAACTGTTGAAATTTCGACAAAAAATTCTTTTGAGTTCATTGGGAATTCCAATGAGTATTATTGAACGCGTCTCTATGTTCAGAGAGACGTTCTCTTTAAACACAAGAGAAATTGTCGACTCGGACAAACTGACAAATCAGCATTATCTCATTTGAAGATACAGTAATACCCGATAGAACTCAAAATTACTATCCAAGTATATAGAGGCAATAGAAATTCCAAAACACGGGGTTAATCGCAATAGAAAAGAATAGGCAATGAACATTATTAAAATCTGGCTACCGGTCCTTAAAGGTACACAAACAAGTTAATCCAATTAAGAGAAACCTAGCCTTGCCCTCTAATCTTCTAATATATATAAGTTTCATGATTTTTGTCATTTTGGACTTGTCTTCGTCGGGAATAGAATAAAATGATAATAATAAATTAAATCCAGAACGACTGGACCAATTTTTATGATTTTTGTCTTTTTGGATTTGTTTTCTTCGGGAATAGGATAATAAGTATGAAAATAATAATAATAATTAAAGAACAAAGTTGCTGCAACAAATATGCTTGCCGTTCCAATCTTACCCTACTCGTTTGGAGTAGTGAAGTGGACTCGGAAAGTGTATCAACTCGACGTAAAGACCCGAAAAATTATGCATCTCTATAGGAGTTTGCATCCCAAATCGTCAGTTCCACGGTTGTACTTCCCCCGACAACAGGGAGACCGTGGACTTTTGAGTTTGGAGTGTCTACATGACAGAATGGTTCTGGATATAGCATGTAAAGTCGTCAGGAGTTCGGATCCTCTTTTCTGCATGGTTCGTGACCATGAGAGAGCAGGAATTGGAGCAATTCTCTTCAGGGTAGCTGCCCGAGCAGCTGATGAACTCAGTTTAGTTTTCGACACTGAACGAGGTGACCACAACTCTGTCACCGAGTTGGAACCCGTTCAGCAAAAAGCTCATATAAAAGCCACAGAGATATCCTCACTTCTGCGAAAACACAAAGATAACCCAATGCATGGGGTCTTCTTCAATAACATTGTGGAGGCCTTGGCTTATCAAAGCGTCTGACTCGCTTTCCTCAGGTCGAGTGGGCTGAAGTCGGAAACTGAGGGGTTTATCATGACTTGCCAGGATGGTGTCTTCAACGTCTTAGTCTACCGCTGTCGCGTGATTGGTATAGAGGTTCCTGACACAAGTTGCAGGGCTTGCCGCGAGGCGCCCGAGACCCTAATGCACTTGCTATCAGCATGTCCAGCTTATGCGGTCTCGACCTATATCCATCGTCATAATGAGTGCTTACCATCTACGGTACTCTCATGGTATGACGAGACACCGGTGTTGCCTTACGTTCCGAGGGATATTGAATCCGTTGTGGGGAACGAGAAGTGCCGAATTTATTGAACTATTCGTTCCCCACCCTCAGGCTCATACAAGCTAATAAGCCTGATGTAGTCCTGCTCGACCACCAGAGTAAAACGATATTTTATCGTGACGTTTTCAGTTACTGGCGAGACGAATATCGTCCGAAAAGAGGAGGAAAAACGGATAAAATATCGAGATTTTCTCTTCGAACTCCGCAGACTATCCAAACCACTCTGTCAAGATGAATGTTCTAATTATAGGAGTCCTTGGTGGAATGATGCCCTCTCTAGTCTCGAATCTTAAAATCATACCGGCTTGCCGCGCTAAGGCAGAAATCTTTGCCGGACAGATGCAGAAGGCTGTCATTCTTGGCTCATTGTGCTTGCTAAGGGCACATGATTGTCGGAACCAATGATCACTTACCCCACTATGTGGGGACTGGTCGTTGGTTGATAATGCTGGTGCCCCATCCCGAATGTATCGGGGCTTCGGGAGATAGAGCCTGACCAGCGCGTACTACGGTAAAAAAAATTAAAAACTCAAGAACAGCTGGACCAATTTTTATAATTTTTGTCTTCTTGGATTTGTCTTCGCCGGGAATATAATTATGAGCATTGAAATATTATATTTTATCAATAAAAGTAATAATAATAATAACTCGAGAACGGCTGGACCAATTTTGATAATTTTTGTAATTTTTGTCTTTGAATTTGTTACCTTCGAGAATAGGATAATAAGTATTGAAATATGATATTTTATCAATAATAATAATAATATTAAAAAACTCCAGAACATCTCGACCAATTTTTATGATTTTGTGTCTTTTTGGATTTGTCTTTGCTAAGAATATAATAATAACTATTAAAATATGACATTTTATCAATAAAAATTATGATAATAAAAGAGGCAAAACATCAGTGATAAAAGTCACATGTTATAATAAAACGCAGCAGGCAGCTAACATGTATACACAGGGTGCTTTACTGAAGAGTGCACTTTACTACCAATTCCCATTTATTTTACTATATACCAATACCATTCATTGTATTTATACTAAACAATTTTGTATCAATTTTAAAAACCTAAATCCTAGGGTATCTTGTTCCGTTCAGAAGTTAAGAGTGGGGGGAGTATTTACGTTCATACTGTATATTTCAATCGACCTTTTTTGGGTATTTGTTACCTTCCACAATCCGAAAAATATAAAAATTATAATGGAGAACTTTATTCAAGTGTAGAAGGGTAAACTTTTTAGTTTACCTCGATAAGTTACTGCGTAAAAATCAAAAGTTTTTTTCACAAAGAGAAATCTTCTATTTATCAGTAACTTGTCGTTTTTAACAATTTTGCCTATCAAAAAAAAATTGTTAAGAAATAATTCAGTACTTATCTTTTACGTTTCGGAGGCCAAAATCTGCCTCCGACTTCAGAAATGGACAAAAAAATTCAATATATTCGCAGTTATTTCTTTTTAATTTTTTATTTCTTTACTTCTTCGACAGATGTCAAAGGAGTTTTGAAATATGAAATTTATGTCAATGTTGTTGATTGACAACTGAAACATTCGTTGCAATACAAGGTACTCTCCGATATCAGTCTGTTGCCATTTCGCCACTATCTACACTTGTATAAAGTTCTCCATTATAATTTTTATATTTTTCAGATTGTGGAAGGTAAAAATACCCAAAAAATGTCGATGAAAAACTGATTTTTCCTCCACAAAAAATTACTTTAGTTGAATGTATATTTCACTTTACTATTTGTTAAATGATGACAAAAATGTCTTCAGAAAACTGATTTAGTCTCCCTACATTTGTTTTTGTTTTTTTTTGCAGATATCTCGTCAGTCGATTGATGCGTGCAAGGATTACTTCAGAGACGACCTCACAAAAACTGACTGGCAACTCATGGTTGAACTGAAGAAGCTCTTCCAGATTTTATAGCTTTTCTATCTATTTTTCTTCCTTTATTTTCCACCATATCTACTAATTTTTATTTTTTAAAGTGCAGTATTTTTCATTTTCTTCCTCAATACTCCTGACAGGTTATCTATCTATATATCTATCTTTAAATGATGAATTATGTTACAATAAATTGGATTGATCGTTTACTGAACGTTTTTGAATGTTGTGTATTGAATTGAGCAGGCTGAAATTTAAAAAAAATGGATGTATATTTATATAAGTGAATAAATAATTATAAATTGTTATTTTTTGTTGAGAAACCATTCTTCCTTGCATCAGTATAATTGAAAAACGGTAATCGAAAAGGAATTTCAGGATCATACCTTAATTTTACAATAAATAAATTCCATTGTGGAACGTCTCTGATTTTGATTATTCTAATTTTGAAAAATAGAGTTTCAACTAATTTTATATGGGCTGTAGAACGGAACAACTTTCATTTAGTTCCAAGGTCATACGTGGACTGTTGAAAAAATTTAGTGAATGTTCAAATATCGCGGGCGACGTACATTCGATTAGCTTTTTTATGTTGGTGCACTCGTCTCGAACCTATGTTCACAGTTTCAGCAATTTATAATGTTTATTGACAGTGGCATAAAGTGATTGTGCTCTGAATAGGAAATTTGTTTACAAGTGGTACAAAGTTTTCATAGAAGGTCGACAGGATGTGAGTGACGGCGCCCGACCTGGGCGCCCCAGCACATCAACATCCGATTAAAATGTTGAGAAAGTGAAAAAAATTGTTATAGAGAATCGTTGAATCGTTATTAGAGAAGTTGCTGATGATGTCAGCATATCGGTTGACTCATGCCATTTAATTTTTTCAGAAAGAAAACGTTCGGTATTGTACAAAAACGATTCATGGTTTTTGCATCACGATAATTGCTCACTTGTCATTACTAGTTCGTAATTTTTTAGCCAAAAACTACACTGTAATGATCCCTAAGCCACCGTATTCACCAGATTTGCCCCCCTGCTACTTTTTCCTGTTCCCAAAATTGAAAATACCCATAAAAGGATCGAGTTTCATTGAGGAGATGAAAAAATGAATCGCTGAGAGTGCATATCAAAAAGCGCATATCAGAACTGCTTAGAGGATTGGAAAAAACGCTGACACAAGTGGCACAAAATAGAAATTGATGGTAGTCGGTTGGCAAGAGGTCTGGGGAGTATGGTGAATTAGGCAGAAGTTCGACGCCCAATTCATTTAATTTTCGGACAGTGATTTGTGAAATATGCGGACGGACGTTGTCATCGAGCAGAATCGGAACTCTTCTGTTAACCAGTGTCGGCTGCTGACGCAATTTTTAGTACATTTCGCTGATTTTCTCACAATACGACTCTGGTGTGATTGCTGTGACCCAGTTGTAGAAAGTTATAGTGAATCACACCAATAACATGGCCTTTTTTGGTGAGTTTTCGCCTTTGGGAAGTGCCTGGGTGGCTCATCGATGTCCAACCACTACCCTAAACGTCTCCTGTTGTCATAGAGTATCCACTTTTCATCACATATGAAGATCCGATCGAAAAAAGGATCGTTTTGGTTGCGCAAAAGCAAAGAAGAACAGACCTCGAAACGTTAAAATTTCTGTCGATCGTTCAAATTGTGGAGCACCCACTTTTCGAGCTTAATGGCCTTTCCGAGAAGTTTTGAACCGTCAAATACCTGGGAGCTGACACCCACGTCTTCCGCCATCCCACGGACCGTTTGTAATGGGCAAGTGCGTTAATTAATATCATCATTGACAAATGCCTGCTTAATTTTCGAGCTGTATTGGCAGAGCTACTGAATAAATGATTCTCTTTGATACTCATAAGCCAACTCATCACAAAATTATCATAAACAAATTGTATGCTAAATGATAGGCCAACTGATCAACAATACCCAATGTTCTAGTCATCTTCATTTTCATAAGGTTGTAAACTTTTCCCTTACCCCTTCAACTGAGGTTCGTCAGGACGAATGGTTCATAACTGAAGGTGTTTTGGTGGTGACATAAAAGTCAATGACCTCTATATGCCGCTCTGGTCTTGTGTACTATGTGACTATGGTATTCGGTGAACAAACTGTTCGTTTTAACAGACGTCGTGGGGCCTTCGTCTAACCGAACGACGGGGCCTTCTGAATCGAGTGGGGTCGTCTATAGTGTAATCTACAGCTTCCCTCGACTGAATGGACTGCCGTACAGTTAACAGCTTCAAATCTCTGCGGATGGATTCATTCCGCACGAACCATGGAGCATTTACCAGCATCCTGAGAAGTTTATTTTTTCTGGATTTACCCGGATCTTTCAGTCAGGGTACCAGCGTTCGAGGTCGTCCAATGCTCGTTGTATGTAGATGACCGCCAACGCCCATGGAAGAGGCGAGGAGAGCCGTGTCATCGGCGTAAAGGGAAACCTTCACGTTGTCGAACCTCGGAAGGTCACTCTCATAAAGACTGTACAGTAGTGAAGACAGCTCATCTCCCTGAGGAGATGGATTTTCCTGACAGAAGAGAGGGTTCCTTCAACTCGGACCTGAAATGTTCTGCCTTTCAGAAAGGACCTAATTCACCGGACCAGACCCCGAGGCAGATCGAAATCGAGCATTTTGTATAGCAGGTCTTCGTGCCAGATTTGGTCGAAGGTCTTCCAAGTATCCAGGAGGACGAGATGGAATGTCTTCCCAATCGGACGAATTAATACCCAATGAGCTCATAACTAGGCCTAATTGAATTATACCACTAACGATGCAATTTTTTGAAATTTCGTGTTGTTGACCAAATCATGTTTGTAAAGTGAAACCTGAAAATATTAAAAAATTCACAATACATAATCGTTGGCAACACATTCTTTTAGAAGTAATTTGTAGTTTCACGATGTACTGAACTCATTGTTCAGAGAAGTGAAAAACTGAAAATTTACCCACCAATAAAAGACCGGTTCAAATATTTCGAGTCACATCGTACACGGAACGCACGTCAACGAATGTCGTAAATATGAGTCGCAAATTATTCTGAAACTAATGAAAATAATCGAGTCCTTAACCCGTGTCATAACGCCTTTGCAGAGCAATATGTAAAGTTGTTGACTGAAGTCAGAAAATAACCTACGCGAATAAAGTTGATTTTTAAATTTTTATGGCCCAGACTTCCGTTCGACCAGGGGCGTATAAGGAGCGGGGTGTAATCACTTCCATTAAAAATGATCACTATTTGTTCCTCACTCGCAATTCGAAAGGAAGTTGTTTGTTACTCAGTAATTGAGAATCGAGGAAACGAGTATTTTAAAATTATCTGAAAAGAAGGAATCAACGTTTGTTTGAAGGTGATTGACAATGTTTCATGATGAATTTCACTAGTTCGGACTTCCATTGTCTACTATTTAAAATGATTTGAAATCCCTGAAACAACTAAAAAAGAATAATTAAAAATGAATAGCTGAAAATAACAATTATATTGAGCAAAAATAAACCTAAAATGAAATAATAGTGAAATAACCTACAAGTAAAAATATAACAATTGGATAAATACAAATAAAGGAATGAAAAAAGAAAATAATAAAAAAGTGTAGAGAATCCAAGTCACGTTAGTTCACGACGTTTCGATTGTTAGTATCTACAATCGTCTTCCTACACAAAGAGTGTAGATAAAAGCTGATAATGTGCCTACAATGAAGTTTAAATATTTCGAAATTAAGTTTTTTCATACAATAAACTCTTTCAACATCAACAAATTTCTTCTAGGGAAATTAGGGCTATTTAATATCTAAATGACGGAGCAATACAGTCTCTATAAACACCGCTCTGATGTTCAAGTTCACATGACCGATTGCAGTGTTGTATACTACAATATTTATTATTATTATTATTTGATAAAACCATTGGAAGAAGTTTGAACGGAAATTACGAAATATGAGTATATTTTTGACATCAAAAGTAATTTCTGTGTCAAAAGTAGAAAGAAACTTCGATTAAAACCCAGAAAATTTTAAAAGCACATCGTGATACCAGTTTCTATTGCAAGTTACCGTTGTAACTGAGAGATCGTCTAATCATTTATTAATAATTCTGAAAAATAATCTCAAGGGTCGATGAATTATTATTGAATCCTCATAGACGATCATTAATTCACACTTGCTCATACAAATGATTCAATGAATATGACCGCTCAGTCGTCTCTTAGGCCGGTGACACTTCGCGATTTCCCAGCGGTTTTTTTCAGCGCGGTTTACGAGCGAGTGAGTACCTGATTTCTGACTGGAGGCGGAATAATCCCTCGTCATCCTCTAATATCATTTGCGTCTTCAAAGCAACCACTATGAAGTCTGTTGCTGCTACGATATTTCAGCGTCAAATGGTGGTATCCCTTTGTGCTTTGGAAGCAGAAGGCGCTCCAGGAAAAAAGGTTTTAGTTATACGAGTGCCCTAACCACCCTTCATGCTTTATCTCCTTCCAGTTTGTTGGCAAAACCGCTTTTGAGCCACAAACAAGGGTGCTTCTCTATGCTATGAATTAGGTTTCCACTTCCATGCTCGAATCGCAACTGAAAAACTACTCGGAAATAGCCAATCAAATCATATCAAATATGCTTTATTGTCCAAAGTATAAACTCGTTGACAAAGCTAATCATGTATAAATGAGTTTCACTATATATACATCCTAAATGAACGAATAGTCAGACATTAACAGGTAAATAAGGAAGATAAATAAATAAACAGTGCTTGAACAGGGAATAATTTTATTTCAGAATTCCATCCATATATCTATCAAAGTACTCTTGAACACTATAAAACACCTGGTCAATGAGAACTTGCTTTACAGACTCCCTGAACTGATGTGATTGGATATCTTTAAGACTAGTAGGTAGATGGTTATATATTTTAGCTGCATTATAGATCAATGAGTTTTTAATCTAATTTGATGATGGAATAGATAGTCTTAATTTGTCGTTTTGACGAGTGAAACCAATAACAACATCGTAAGATGATTTGTTCTTATGTACTAGGCACACAGTTTCGAGTATGAATAAAGAAGAAAGTGTTAGTAATTTTGGCTCCTTGAACAAGGGTTTACAAGACACTCTAGGCCCAACTTTGCACAGATATCGGATGGCACGCTTTTGGAGAATGAAGACTGTGGATGAAGTGTTGTTGGTTGCAGGTGCCCCAGAATGATATGCCATATCTTAGATGCGATTCAACCACAGCGTGGTACACCATTTTTGCAGTTACAATACCCAATTCATTCGACACCGTTCGTAAA